TCCCTATTACGGGGAGAGGGTTGATTAATCACAGGTCTACTTCAAGCTCTGTCAAGACAACAGGAGGCATTGTAACCCTAGGTGGACCTGCCACCATGTAACAGAGGTATAATAGGTATAGAGGAGGCCCACATATATGATCACCATTGTCCCTATAGCTCAAACTTAGTTCCCTGCAGCGGTGTTCACCCAGGCTCCGGGTCTACCTAGGGCAATGGCCTTCTGCTCCAGAAACTGCTGTAGGAATTAGGGGTTAGGGCTTATATATGTATACACATATAGATATATACGTATATGTACCTCTTTATATATACATATACATATACATATATATGGAGGCACTATGTGGGAGATTACAAGCTTTCCAGCTAGATCCGGAACATCCTGAGAAATCCTTTAATAATCAGGCGTTAAGCGTCTAGGGTTTCTCGGCCAAGCGGCCATGCTGGCTTAGACCATCAGGCCACCAAGACTTTTGGCCCAACGCCAAGGAAACCTTGTACAGCGTTTGGGAGATGACTTGGAGGGTCCGGGGGACTTAGCGGGGGACTTAGTAAGCATCCCCATAACCCCCCATAACAGCCCCCAGCTACCACCAGTAATAACTTCCCAAGTCCCTGCGAAACTCCCCCACCCGGGGGTATTCACGAGTAGGGGCGGGAGAGGGGGTGTTGTCACGGAAAGGGGATTAGTGTCCCTAGATTTGATAGCCGCTCAGGCTTTGACTGCACGACTGCAAGAAACATGATGGGCATGATCGCTCTCGATGTTGATCAGAATCCGGCTTGCCACTGAGGAGAGTTGAGTTGGACTAGGTTGCTCTAAACCCGAAACCCTAGACCCTAAACCTTAAACCTGAAACTCTAAACCTTTAACCTGAAACTCTAAACCTTAAACCCTAAACCCTCAACCAACCATGTTGGACTGGAACTGGTGTTCCCTTCGCTCCACTGGACAAGCCCAAACTCAGCCAGCTCAGCAAAGCTCAGCCTCCTCGAGCCCTAAACCAAGGCTCATAATAGGGTTTAGGGTTTAGGGTTTAAACCCTAAACCGCAAACCCTAAACCCTTTGGAGTTTAGGGATGAGGCTTTAGGGTCCAGGGCGTTGAGCTCGCACACCTCTGAAGTGCGTGGACCAGTCTTCCAAACTGAAAGTCCCTCAATCTTGCCACTTGGGGGGGTTCAAAATGGTGGGTCCTTTTTGGGATCCCTGGATTACCTAAACCCTGAACCTAAACCTTTAACCGTAAACCTTTAAATATAACCCTAAACCCTAAACCTTAAATCCTAAACCCTAAACCCTATAAACCCTAAACCTTTAACCTAAACCCTAAACCTTTAACCTCAAACCCTAAACCCTGAACCCTTAAACCTTTAACCCTACACCCTAAACCTTAAACCCTAGAAAACCCTATAATTAAACCCTATAAACCCTATAAACCCTATAAACCCTAAGCCTTAAACCTCCAAGCCGGGAGGCCACGAGCCGCTGCCGCAAGACCTCGGCCCGCTCCTCCCAGGCTTCCCAGTGCCCCTCCCGCAGGGGCCAAAAGTTCCTGAGCTGTCTTTGAAGCAGTGTTATATAAGGATAATGGAACTATTTAGGGTTTAGGGTTTAGGGTTAAAGGTTGAGGGTTTAGGGTTGAAGGTTTAGGGATCCCATTGTAGGGGTTATATAGGGGTTTCCCAAAATTAGCTTTTAAGGGTGTTTATAGGGTAAATATGGGGGTTATATTGGGATGATGGAAAAAAAAGGAAGCTACTATTTAGGGTTTAGGGTTTCCTAAAATTAGGGGTACCTTTACAGGGGTCCCAAGAATAAGGACTATAGTATTTGGGGGTCGATATTGGGGTCCCTCATTTTGGGAAACTACCGTGTATATAGGGATCCCATTGTAGGGTTGGCGTTACGTAGGGTTGATGGCAAAGAAAATGGAAACTACTATAATGGGTTTTATAGGGATTATATAGGGTATATATTGGGATTCTGTAGGGGTTATATAGGGATAATGGAAAAGAAAATGGAAGCTACTACTTAAGGATTGGGGTTTAGGTTTTTTTTTGTCACTCCTTCTTCCTCCTGCTAACAGTCAGAAAGCGCATTTCGCGCAGGAGCCGTATCCATACCACAAATTCCAACGGGCACGCTACTCAACCACAGCGACTGAGCAGGGTTTAGGGTTTAGGGCTTACGGTTAAGGTTTAGGATGTAGGGTTTTGCTCTTCGGGTTTAGGTTTAGGGATTTTAGGGTTTATGGTTTGGTTTAGGGTTTAGGGTTAGGTATGCCGGCTTGGAAGGGGTGTTTTCAGTCTTGCACGGCTTTGAGGGTTTCAGGATTCTAGCAGATGTCGAGCGCAGACTCAGCTCCAATCCACAGCTTGAAGCTAGCTCAGTAGTCCCTATAAATTTGGGGCTTAGGGTTTGGGGGTTTTGGATTTAGGTTTTGGGGTTTGGGGTTTAGGGCTTAAGGTTTTGGATTTAGGGTTTACGGTTTGGGGTTGGGTACTGCCACATTGCGAAACACAAGCGAAAGACGTGATTGCAACTATTACTTGGGTTTTGCTCATGTCCCTGAATTCTATCTCTGCCTGCTCTTGGCTCCTACACGATAACAAAAGGAAACTATAGGATACTCTCATCATGACTTGACTTTGTTCCATACCTCCAATTCACAGCTCCCGTCCAAGGCGCATGTACAAGACGATTCGCCAGGCCTGCGCGGAAGAACAACTTCACTCGCTGTAGGCGCCCTGAATCCAACGGATCTCAATTTGACAAGTAGGATGTCAGTGCTTTTCGCGGCCAGTGCTTGTGGGCTGGAAGAAGGATCATGCTGTCGTGAAGCAAGGTCCCATCGTATGGACATAGTAATGCTAGTAGTAGTAATATACAAAGGAATGCAAGTCATAAGAATACTAATAGTACTGTAGTAATTAGAACACAAATAACAAGCACGGTAATCAGTACTGTGGTAATTAGAGCACAAATAATCCGCCGACCCCTGGGGCCGGCGCCCAGCAGGTTCCCTTAGCTCCCTCACCATTTCCCGCATTTGTACTTCCTTTTTTATGTACCGTTATGCCCGCA